GAGAAGAAAAGAAAAACCCTAACTTTGCATCAAGAAGAAAAGAAAAACCCTAACTTTGCATCAATCTAAATCTAAATTATTGAAACACAATCTCCCACCACCCAGGTTTGTGTGTGTGTGTGTGTGTGTGTGTTCGTATGAGCTGTTTGGTGATATCTGAACAGGATGAAATTGCCACTGAATTTTTGAGGTTTTACTTTTTGAATTGCGGGTCTTGAAGAAAAAAATATGCTTTGTCGAATTATATGTCTTTTTAAAGAATTTTATTATATATATATATATACATATATACACATGTATATCTTTGTCTCTGGCCTTGGTTTTGAACAGCAGGGATTGAAGAAATGGGGAGGAAATCGGGAGCGGCGGACTCGCTGGAGGAGCTTCGAGAGCTTTTTAGGCACCAAATTGAGTCGTTTGATCACCTCATCGACGCCGGCTTGGAGACATTGCTTCTTGGAATCAAGCCCATCCAAGTCCATGATCCTTCCACCAACAAGACTCTCAGGAATATCCTTTTCTGTTTTTTTTTTTGTTTGGTGTTTCGGTTCTTTATTTATTCCTTAATTTTATTAGCGAAAATCGAGAAACTATTCATACGTTTTTGAATCGAAGTGGGAAATTTCGATCTTTGTTGTGTGTGTGTGTGTGTGTTTTTTTTTTTAATTCTTCATTTCTTATGTAATTGATGTTTGGACTTGACTTGTACCCTACTATGGCTGGATAGACCCGAAGTGTTCACACCCAAAAAGGAACAACTGTTTAGATCCATGAAAGACCCTCTGCTACCATTCGAGGTAATAAGACAGATTTATTTTTATTTCATTTGCCAACTAATCACGTGTTTACAAATTATATGTTTAATGGGATGGTTGGATTTTATCTAAACAGTGTAGACAAGCTAAGATTTCGTATACGGGGAAGTTCATGGCTGATGGTTGCTTTCAGTATGATAATGGAGCTGTTATAAGAGAGAAATTCAATTTTGGACAGTTTCCTATAATGCTCAAGGTTTGTTGCTCTTCCGGTCTTTTTTTTTTTTTTTTTTGCAGTGCACACCTTTGGTGGTTCCAGAAACAGGCAACTAAAAGACAAAATCCAGTGCTTTCTAGTGTTTGCTTTACTTATTCTGAATTGGAAAGATTAAGGGGGTACTTACTTGTTGTTTGTTTCGTTTTATGTGGTTTTAGTGACTTTTTTTGTTCTTTAGTTTGTTGTTTTTATTATGAGGAGTCCTTGTTTCCTGTTATCGTACGAGTAAAATTCAGTTTCTTATTAAGAAGTGCCTACTTTACTATATTGTTAATCATGTTTGGAACATTATGGATTTTCCATTTTCTCATTCCTTTCAAGCTCTCTCTCTCTCTCTGTTTTTTTTTTTTTTTTTTTGGTTAAATAAGAAAACTTCCTCTCATTGATAGAATAATCAATTATAGAGGAAAGAGGATTCTTTCATTGTGTGCTTCCTTTTTTGTTCAATGCAGTCAAAGCTTTGCAACTTGAGTGGTGCAGATCCTCAAAAACTAGTTGCCTCAAAAGAAGAGGATTCAGAAATGGGTGGGTGAGTATTTTAGATTTTAACTTTATCCTTACTTTTGAAAATGGCATATCTTTTTATTTGTGGGATAATTCTTATGATTGTCAGACTTTATAAGTGCACATTTTGATATTTTAGTACAAATACCTGATATAGAGCCTGCCATAATTCCACTGTATTGTTGGTTATCCTTATTGAATGGCTATATGATAAAGTATTAGTAATTTTTTATTAACATAATTGTTGAATTTGTGTATTGTCCTAATGTTGACAATGCTACCAAAAACTGCTATTTAACCATTGGAAATCCGATTATGTTTCATTACGGACCAAGGGTCTTTATACAGCACATTTTTCTTTGCACTTTTTTCCCCTCTGGTTTATTTATTGATTTACTCTTTCTAATTGGGTTATGTTTTTTTTTTTTTTATTATTTCATAGTTACTTTATCTTAAACGGGCTTGAAAGAGTTGTTCGACTTTTGATACTGCCAAAGAGAAACTACGTAAGTGGACCTTCCTCACTGAGATTTTTGGTGGCTTCTAGGTCATATTGTTGTTTCATTTATATTGATGAAATTTGAGTTTCTATTAAGCTCCCCTTCCATTGTTTAAGACCATTGGTATGTATTCATTCTCTTCAGCCAATGAGTATGGTTCGTAATTCATTTCGTGATCGGCGGCAAGGATATACTGATAAAGCAGTTGGTATAAGGTATTATCCTTATTTTTATTTGCTCATCTGATTTCCCTTTAGATCGGTTATATTTAGAAAAAGAGTTATCAGTTGGTAATATTCTAGTTAAAGTTTTGTTCTGTTTGGCATCAGCTTCTTGTATGCGACGTATTTGACCTTTATTTTTGGTATTAAATTTTTGTCTCTTTTTTTTTCAAAAAAAAACCAAGGTGTGTTAGAGAAGATCAGTCTTCAGTGTCGGTGCGAGTGTATTACCTTCGTAATGGAAGTGCAAGACTTGGATTTTGGTGAGCAATTTTATGTTTGCCACTAGCAAAGAAAAAATGGCTTGTAACTTTGAGATACTACGGGAATTCGTATACACAATTGTTTATGCATGCATACATATTAGTGCACTTGTTTATTTTAATAATTTTGCAGGGTACATGGAAGAGAGTACCTGCTTCCAGTTGGCATTGTGTTAAAGGTTACTTCTTTTCCTTTCTAGATCACTGATGCAGTCTTTGCTTATTAAAACAGAAAGAAAAGAAAAGACATGCTTTTCCCTTCTGGCAAACATTTTGTATTTTTAATTTCTCGATATTTGATTATATGATGGGCTTACTTCATCATTGCTTTGCAGCTGCTTTTGATTATTTTACTATAGCTTTAGGAGGAATCTAGTTTCCTTTAAATAAGAGACAATTTTGTTAATTAATGAAGAAAATTACAACAAAAGAATCTGTCAAGGACAAGAAGGTCTCAAGGAGGATATAGAAGAGGCCAGAAGAAGACTCGAAACACTTTCAACTTAAAGGGAATTCTTTGAACCTTCATCCGTCAAAGCGCTTAAGTATGTTAGATATTTGACTCTTTCAAAGAGACAGCTAGCATGTTGTTCAATCTCCTCGAAAATCCTACCATTTCTTTCCATCCAAATGATCCAAAAAGTAGCCAGCAGCACCACACTCCCACATCACCTTAACCAACAAGTTTTTCCACCAATAGAGAGCCACAACTTTATGAACACGACCATTTGTTTTCAATTTAATCAGTGACAAACTAATTTGCTCGTTTTAGTGATAGGAAGATGAATCTTACTAGAAAGATGTGATAGGAAGATGAATCCTTAGTTTTATCTGATTAAATTTTTTGTTTTGTTCTGTTTTCCTTGGTATTTTTAGGATACCTTATCCTCTTGTAACCTATTGATAATTATGAATAAAGGTGTTTTCTTAAAAAAAAAAATGAGTGACACTAATTTGCAGGCTCTTGTTGACACTACTGATCGTGAGATTTATGCAAGCTTGACGTGCTGCTACAGTGAGAAATATGGTAAGGGAAAAGGCGTTGTTGGAACACAACTTCTTGGTGAGAGGGCTCAGATCATCCTGGATGAAGTTCGTGCTTTGTCCCTTTACACTCGCATTGAATGTCTAGAGCACATTGGTAATTTTGATCTCCTTTTTTAGTTCTGTTTATTATTTATTTTTTTTGTTTTGAAAATGGGTTTCTTGTCAAAATGTATAGTATTAACTCTGTTAATTTCCAATTGTCATCAAATAGGAGAGCACTTTCAACCTGTCATGGAAGGATTCGAAAACAAAAGTTTTTCTGTTGTGAGTTTTTGGTAATCAATTGTGCTGTCTTTCTTTCTTTCTTTCCTTTGTTTTTTATTCATTTATTTTAACCTTTTGTAGGTTGCCGAATCTGTTTTGAAGGACTACATATTTGTTCACCTTGATAACAACTATGACAAGTTCAATCTGCTAATGTTAGTTATAATTTCTGATTTCATTTTTGTGTTTTGGGCTTTCGTTTTTCTCTAAAGATTGATTTTTCTTTTGATTGTCTTGATATTTTTATCTCCTCTTATTTCTGAGATTGTTTATGTTCTCATTTTGTTCTGTTTCTAGTTTCATGGTGCAGAAACTTTTTTCACTTATAGATCAGACTTCTGTACCAGACAATCCAGATTCCTTGCAAAATCATGAAGTCTTACTACCTGGTCACCTGATTGCCATTTATCTCAAGGTAGAAATCTGATGCTGCTTTATTAGTATTTAGACAAGAAACTTCAGCACTTAGAAATTGTAATAGTGTTTATTACAATTAGTACAAAAAGGTCAAAGTGGAATGACACGTTAAACTTTTCCAGTAGCTCAACTTGCAATTTGGTTTTCTTTTAAATTTATTATCAATAGATGAATCTGTAACGAGTATAGTCTAACTCTGTTGTAAGTTATGACTCATGTTTGCTTGTTGCATATTGTGTGGCTTATAGGAAAAACTGGAGGATTGGTTGAGCAAGGCCAAAAAGCTTCTTCAAGATGAGATCACCAACAAAGGCAAAAGTTTTGATTTTTGCAGCTGTATGTGCTTGTCTTTTCTCCATCATTTGTGTGTATGTGTATGTGTCTGAAAGTCCTTTTGATTTTAGCTTTTAAGAGTTGTATGATTATAGTAATCTTATTTCGATAGTAGGAATTCCTTATGTCACTGCAGTTAACATAGCTAGCCTGCTTTATACTATTGTATCCTGATCCTGGTTTCATAATTTTCATTTCTCTTTTATGCGTCCTGTTTTAAGATTAACCAGTCCACAGTATTAGCTAAATAAAGCTCTCCACGTATTGGACATATTATTTGTTAACTGTTTTACTTGACCATTTTTTATAATGCAGTGGTACAAGTAAAGAAGGTTATGGATAAGAATCCGGCAAAACAGATCAGTTCAGCTGTTGAAAACATGTTAAAAACTGGTAGACTTGCTACTCAGACAGGTTTAGACTTGCAACAGGTATTGACTTATTACTGGGGTTGTTGTATTTATGTCATAACATTCTTCTTTTCTTCATGCTTAAAAATGTAGAGTAGGATGTTTCTATCATTTGGAACTGAATTTATAGAAAATATCTTGCAAGTCAGGAACATGCTTTTCTTTTTTGAGCCAGAAAAACATTTAAACTTCTAGTAATGTCATTTACTCACTACTTACCAGTATAAATTTGAGGATCACCTACTGCATAAATGATGATATGACTTGTATTCTACGTGGTAGGTGTGTGAGGATTAGTGATCCAAGAAGATAAATATTTTAATTGGCTACTATTTCAAGATGAGCCTTTGGTGAGATGAAAATAGAACCTTGGCTACAAAAGAAGATGAAGGGTCCGTTTAGTTCATGCGTTCAAACCAGTGATTCTTGATTCTGACATTTGGAATTCAAATTTTTTGTGAGGAAAACACTGTAGCAGAATGAAAACATGGGTTTAAACGCATGAAGCAAACGGGCCCGAAGTGTTTACACCTTCTAGGAGTTAGGATTGAAAATGCTGTTGTAAAATATCTATGATGTTTTATAATAACAATGATATCAAAAAGGTACAAGGGGGAAGTTGGGTGAGATATCCAACAATACCGAAAAACAAAGCAAAAACAGCAAGAAAGCAAACAATCAAAACTATCAAACAAAAAGGCTGATAAATCCTAGCCTCACTAGGAATCCTAAATAAAATACTAATAAAACTAAAAACTTGTCTCACATTTGGTAATGCCTTAGGCTCCTGAAAGCAATGACGTAGCCAGAAATTTATGTCAATGGAGGCTAATAACTAAAGCAAAAATTGAATGGCGGGCTATAATATTAATTTTTAAATTTTTAGTAAAATTGCCAGTGATGGTAGACAGAGAGTTGGAGAGTAAAATGGAACTTTTCCTTTGGACAATTTTGAGAAAGGATGGGTGGATAATCTGGTGGCATTGTCTAAGGTTTCTTTGAGCAAAAAGGATGGTTGCCTTGGTGTTAGGAATTTATTGAAGAAAGAATCAGGCATTATTGTGGAAATGGTTGTGGAGGTTTCCCTTGGTGGCGCCACAATAGGCCTTAGTTGGTTCCGTGTGTGCCCAAAGCTAGCATGGGATTTTTTTTTTCTTTTGAAAAGAAATGAACTTTATTAATAATATAAGAAAGGGAAGGGAGGAAGAGATATCCTCCACAAAATCCCTTGTTTCTATTTTCATCCTTTCATTTTTAATAAAATTCCTTGTTTCTTATAAAAAAAAAAAAGAGATATTCTCCACAAATGACAAACCTAGATCCAAAAGTAGAGATAAAACCAGCTATAAGTGATTACTAAATAAGAAAACTCTTAAACAAGAGACTCGAATAGGGCTATAAAAAAGAATCCCAACTCCTGATGAAGTCCGAAAAAATTGGTTTACCAAATTCTGACTCTATAGACCCACAGATTGTTATTAAGCTTGTGCTTTGACATGGATGTCGGACTTGGTACTTGTTAATTTCTTACATAAACAATACAAGTTTGATTAAATCATTTATCGTTTTGTAAAGAAGCAAATCATGCAGCTTGAAGTTTAGTTTATTTATGGGCTTAGGACTTTTATGTCAATTGGATATATAGAAATGTGAAATATGGTTTTTTCTAATGTTATATATATGGTGAACTGCCCCTAATGAATTTTATTATTTATCCAGAGGGCAGGCTTTACGGTTCAGGCCGAGAGGCTTAATTATTTACGTTTCCTTTCTCATTTTCGTGCTGTACATCGAGGGACTTCATTTGCTGGACTTCGTACAACTAGTGTGCGGAAGCTGCTACCTGAGTACGCATATACTACCAACTTATTAGCATTGTACACTTTTGCCCTTTGCATTTGATTAATTGTTTATATTGGTTTTACAGATCTTGGGGTTTCCTATGCCCTGTGCATACACCTGATGGGGAACCATGTGGCTTGCTAAACCATCTGACTTGCACATGTCGTAAGTTTTTGTTTAAATGCACCAATAATATATTTTGTTTTTCTTTTAGGCTCTCTTCACAAGAATTCAAAGAGATAGTACATTCTACATTTTGTTCCGTAAAGAAGATGCATTGATAACTGTTTGAGAGAGAGAGAGGTAAAACAAGCAACGGTTTTATTGATAACTGGCAACTATTTGACTATATTTTGTTTTGATACTGTGGTTAACATCTATAGATAGACAAATGCAGGAACAGATAAAGGCAACGGTTTTATTGATAACTGGCAACTTTTGACTTTGTTTTGTTTTGATACTGTGGTTAACATCTATTTAGTCGTTAACAAAGAAAATAATCAGCAAACTATGGATATTTTTTTATTATGTCTTGCTTTGATACTGAGATGTGGCTGTTATAAGGATAGTTCTATGTTATTATTGCCATTGAAGTGACATCTTTTAACCTTATCATATTTCTTTCAGGAATTACATCGTACTTCGATTCACAAGGAAACAACAAGGACTTCTTTAAGATAAGGATGTCTATTCTGAGTGTTTTGGTTGAGGTTGGAATGTCACCTTCATTGCCGAAGTTGGTTCAAGCTGGTCCTCCTGAAGTTCTTTCCGTTCTCTTAGATGGTCGAATTGTTGGTTCTATATCTTCCAGTGTGATTGAGAAAGTTGTGGCTCACTTACGGAGATTGAAAGTCTCACCTGCTTCAGAGGTTTGTCTTTGAACTTTGTCCATTTTTCTCCCCTTCAATTCCCTGTTATGCGTAGAAAACGCAGATAATTGAGAGAACTCTCAAAGGATCTTTTTAATAACCAAAACTGAACAATTAAATAATGAAGAGGTCCTTAAATAAGCTAATACGTTTCCGAGCGTTAATCCTATGTAAACTCAAATTTCAAATAAAAAAGAAACTAAACATAATCCATATCCTAATAAAAATAGAAGAGATAATTCCTAGATAATTCCTACTTAAAATATCTCCTAATTACGCGGCATCACTTGATGTTGTTGTTGCATGGATAACTTTCAGATTCCTGATGACCTTGAAGTGGGATATGTTCCTTTGAGCATGGGCGGAACATATCCTGGTCTATACCTGTTCACATCCCCTTGTAGATTTGTTCGACCGGTGAAAAATATTTCAATCCCATCTACAGATGACCAAAATATCGAACTTATTGGGCCATTTGAACAGGTAAATACAGCATCATGGAGTGTGTGTGTGTGTGTACATAATGTGATCTCCGGAGCAGTAAGTAGTACTAGCAGCGAAACTAATCCATAATTGCTCACAATAGGTTTTCATGGAAATAAAATGTCCTGACGGTGGGGATGGTGGAAGAAGAGATTCTTTTCCTGCAACTCATGAAGAAATACATCCAACCGGGATGCTCAGTGTTGTTGCTAATCTTATACCTTGGCCAAACCATAATCAAAGTCCGCGTAACATGTACCAGTGTCAGGTTATTTATCTTTGGAACCTCCGTCTGTCTTTTGTTACATTAAGATGAATTATTGCTGTCATGTCTTGTTTATCTATTTGCCGCATGTGTTCCCCATTCCATTCTTTACTCCTTATTTGGGTTGCAACTGTAGATGGCAAAACAAACAATGGGTTTTTCTTTACAAGCACTTCACTGCCGTGCTGATCAAAAACTATACCATCTTCAGGTTGGTTCATGTCTATTTTTATTCCTCTTGCTCCCCACCCTTCCGTTCATCTGTTTGTTGTCTTTATGTGATTAAAGATCTCCTTTAGTAGGAAAAGGACTACATTACTAATTTTTGTAAGTTCTTGTTAGGATTCTGGTTGTGTCCCACATTGCTATAGTATGGGCTAACTAACTCTCCCCCGCCTAACCTTTCCCTTCTAACTTCCTCTAATCTGTTACAGTTCTCTGTGCAAGACGCAATGGCAGCACAAGTTACTATTACCACCTATATCGTGGAAACCTTAATACTGATATAAAGAAGTTGGGATAATGCATTTATAAATTTTATAAGCTAGATTAGAAAGGGCTCAACTGGTTATGAGATAACCATGATAAACAGTTGCAGCTAACTCCTAACCATCATGTTGTCTAATTCTTAACTTTTAATGATTCAAAATGGAAATCAGCATAATCCAAAACCTTTAAAGAAAAGTTTTTATTGGAGGTTTTGTTTGCCATAGTTCAGTTTTTTCTGTGTTATGGGCCAAAAAGTTCTTACTCTGTTATGGGCCAAAAAGTTCTTACTCTGTGTTATGGGCCATAACACAGAGTAAGAAGTATGACTGTATGGGTATTTGTTACTTCAGGTTATGGGCCAAAATCTACTCATACAGTCATACTTCTTACTCTGTGTTATTGTTGTCATATCTGTTGTTTTTCGCTATTTCTCTACCGTATTTGATTTATAATGAACTCTTCTTGGCATTCTTAGACCCCGCAATCTCCCATTGTACGTACAAGTACTTATACAAAGTACAACATGGATGCGTATCCATCAGGCACAAATGCAATCGTTGCTGTACTTGCATATACTGGGTGAGGATTTCAGACATGTTTGAGTAATAATTCAGTTTCTATATTTTTGGGGATCACTTAGTCTCTCTCTCTCCTTTTTTTTATTTTATGAAATCCAGATATGATATGGAAGATGCCATGATTCTAAATAAGTCTTCTGTGGATCGTGGAATGTTCCATGGACAAATATATCAGGTTTGTTCTTGCTATACTACATACTGCTTCATAAAATAGTCCATAATTAGGAACGTACAACGCCTTCCCCCACCCCCACCCCCACCCCCACCCAAATCTAGGTCCGGGTTGTCTTTCTATAAAAGATGTAATTATCTTGATCATAAGCTATTATAGTTTCTTAAAGACATTAAATTAGAGTTTACATTTATGGTTTTCTTGCCTTATCTTTTTCTCTCTTTTTCTTTTTTCTTTTTCTTTTTTTTTTCTTTTTTCTTTTTTTTTTTTTTGTGTTTGATCGTAACCATGATTTTTTAATGGCCAACTTCTCTTTGTCCTTTCTTAGTTCTCTTCATATTCCCTTTTTTTTTCCTACCAAATTACTAGATACAAGTTCTTATTTCTTCCCAGCCTCCGAATTAAAAATGTTGCGATTATATAAACCTATGCTTATATCTACAAGTTTGAATGCCAATGTCAAGTGAGGTTGACAATTTCAGTATCTTTTTGAAGACTTATCTTTATGATTGTTGTTAATTGTTGTAGTTTGTATAAATACTACCAATACATTGCATTACCTTTCTCATGGGACTTGAACTCTTGTTCACCTAACGAACCAACGTCTTGCAGACAGAAACAATCGACTTGTCTGATCAAAGTAATAGGTCTGACCGAGTTCAGTCTGTATTTAGGAGGAGTAATGTTGACAGATCAATGCATTCATTGATCGACTCAGATGGCCTTCCTTACGTTGGTCAGGTTAGCTATTCATATTTGTACCCTTTTTCTCATTTTATTTTAGCTGTGTGGTCATGTGTGTGCGTGCATGCGTGCACACATGAATTTATGAAATAGAAGCTCATTGTTATACTTACCATCTTGTTTTCTTTTTCTTTTTTCTTTTTTTAAATAAAAAAAAACAACTTTTCAGACAATAAAGCCAAATGAACCCTTTTGTAGCATTTATAATGAAGTAACAGGTGGGACAAGAACTATGAAGCGAAAAGGTTCAGAACCTGTTGTTGTTGACTATGTCGCTATTGATGTGAAAAACAAGCAGAAACTTCGGAAGGTAGGTAGTGAATCTTAAATTTGTTCTGCAATACTTGTTAATAGAATGATTAAAAACTCTTAAAGTACATAATTAGGGTATAATTATGCGTGTGCGGGAGTGTGTTCCAACCTTCTTTATGAATGGCCACGAATTTTATGCTCCCAAATATTCTATGGCCTGGCGGGGCCTGCGGTTTACATTCTCAGAATTGAGGCACACTGAGTGAGTTTTGGAAGTTTTGAGTTAAAACAAAATAATTAATTAAGTAGAAAAAATAAAATACTAGGCACTGTGTTTAGCCTTGGTGCACTGGATTCCTTGTACACTTGGGCCTAGCGCATAACCCTATGTGTAAAAAAGTCACATAGATGACTATCAGATTCCAGTATTTAACTAAGTATCTTTTGTTCTTATACTGGTGGTTTGTTTTCATGGATGAAAATATATTACATCCTCATGTTTGTATCTAAGGCTTTGTATTTATCATCTGCCTTTCTTTATATAATTTAAACAGGTCAATATTCGCTTTCGACAACCTAGAAACCCCATTATTGGTGATAAATTTAGCAGCCGACATGGGCAGAAAGGCGTTTGCTCTCAGTTGTGGCCTGATATTGATATGCCATTTTCTGGAGCTACGGGGATGCGACCAGATCTTATTATTAATCCACATGCATTTCCTTCGAGGATGACTATAGCCATGCTTTTGGAATCAGTTGCTGCGAAGGTAATTTTATTAAGATGTAATCATTAATATTTAATTGCACTCTCTTATGGTTCAGAAATAAGTTGAATGTTGTTTAGTTTATCCCTCTAATCTTGGTCTCAGGACCCCGGAAGAAATTAATTAAATGATTAACGGTACTGAGATGTTGATTTGGATGATGGACCACCCCATTTTTAGCTCTATTTTTTTTTTTCCTCTATTTTGTTTCTAGTAACTACTCTTTGTATCTAGGTTATTCGACTCAGGAATTGTTAAACTTGTTTTCTCATTATGCCATAGTTTTTCATTTTAAGATTGAATATATGGCATTTGGCATTCGCATTGGAGATGGTCTTATATTGAGATATTTTGATACGAGCATATAAAGAAACTTATTTCTTGTGATAGGGAGGTAGCTTGCACGGAAAATATGTTGACGCAACTCCTTTTTCTGGGTCTTTGAACGAGGCTAAGGAAGAAACTGTATCAAAACATTCCACTTCACTTGTTGATGAACTTGGTCAAATGTTAAGAGAGAAGGGATTCAATTACCATGGCGTTGAGGTATTGTACAGTGGGGTTTATGGAACAGAACTTCCATGTGAGATCTTTATTGGGCCCGTCTATTATCAGCGCTTGCGGCATATGGTCTCAGATAAATTTCAGGTATGAACATTATCAACTCTCTACATCTCACTTCTTTTCCTCTCTTTTAAGATAATGTCCTTGCCTGTGTAAAAAATATAAATTAGCTGAAATATATAGAATTATGTTGTACAAGGCGGTCATTTTAAGTTTTATTGGGTTTATTTAGGGTCAGAGGTCATTATTTTTGACGTTCTGTAGAGATTTATTTCTGAAAGCCTTGGGTTCTTTGGCTAGTGGCTTTTCTTCTACTTTTTTGTTTTTTTTTTCCTTTTCTTTAACCTTAAAAATGGTTTGTGATGCTTGCTAATTTCTTAAAAGGGTTATTTTCATGATGTTATTTTCATACCAATGTTTATTATGTAGTATGCTTTTTGTCTAGTTACAGATCACCAGTTCCTTTACCAACGGTTTCATTTGGTATACAGGTCCGTTCCACAGGAATAATAGACCAGGTGACCCGACAGCCCATCAAAGGACGGAAACGTGGTGGTGGTATTCGTTTTGGGGAAATGGAACGCGACTCCATGCTTGCCCATGGGGCAGCATATTTGTTGCATGATAGGTTACATACGTGTTCGGATTACCATATTGCCAACGTGTGTTCCCTGTGCGGAAGCATCCTCACAACAACGTTCCTTTACCAACAAAAGCGGGTTCGTGAGATCGGTGGGTTACCTCCCATCAAATCTTCCAGAAAGGCTACCTGCCATGCTTGTCATACAAGTAAAGGGATGGAGACGGTTGCGATGCCCTATGTCTTTAGATATTTGGCTTCAGAGTTGGCAGCTATGAACATAAAAATGACCCTCCAGGTGAGTAATGGTGCGGGAGCTTGAGGTCCCGACAACAATTTTGACATTGAGGATTGTGAAACTATGTCCCAGTTTTCTGTTGTACATATTGGCTTTAGTTCTTTACTTGATCATCAATTAAATGGAGTCTGATTGGCTCCTTTCTGTCCAGTGGACCAGAGAAGTTGGTCATGTCTATCAATATTCTTTAGTTTGCTGGTTTGCATATTGTGAATTTTTTTTTTCCTCATTTCGAGTTTATAGCTGTAACCTGATTTTGCAGATGGATTAGAGATTTTTACCATGCTATGAAATTTTAATTTTATTCTCCTTGATTACCGGCTTTTAAGCCTCGACGGTGATTATGATGAATATAAAGGTTGGATATTTGGCAAAATCTCCTGCTTCTTGTGTAATTCTGGTGTGTGTCCGTGCTGAAAAATATACACCGCACACCTATTATCTATTGAATTGTGCAGAAAACAGAAAAGGAAAAAGTTTGAAATCACGTAAAAATACTGGACAAAAGTGAATATAAACAACAAGGCTTTATTCGTTTTATGTATTCGAGATTCGAGTTGAAATGTGATATTTTTTAAACTTTTAATTATAACAAAAAAAGTTAGATGTGATATTTTTTGAGAGTTTTTTAACTGTAGAAACTTAAAATTAAAAACTCAGTGAAATGAATGAGGTTTAAGATACCATATTTGTAGTCCGGTAGATAAATGGAAATTTGCTAATATTTTAATTTTTATATACAATAATTCCATTAAAGCGAGTATGGTTTACTGGTGGAAGTTTGATTCGTTCTATTAGTTCATTAATAGTTGAAGAGTCCTTAGGTTTGATTAATATAATATCTCATTCCGTACAGGATATAGCACATTTATAGGTGCTTTTAAAACAAATAGCACAATTCATTAAGCTTGATAAATTATAGCACATCATTAATCTTGAATAGTTTATTTCTCAATTTACCCATAAAATTTCTTCCCAATCTTTTTTCTCTTCCCATTTTCTCTCTCTTTCCTCACAAATTTCCCTCCCTTCTTATATCGCAATGGAATCTGCAATATGCTCCCGTCAATAGTAAGGTGTGGCCGGCGGCGTCGACGGGCGAGGTGCGGTTGACAGTGTCGGTGGCAGGTTATGGTCAGCGTTTTGAGTTAGGTCAGTGGGTTTGGTTATGTATGAGATTGGGGATAATTTGAGGTACTTTTGTAGGTTTTTTTTTTTTTTTTTTTTAAATTGTCAGTAGAAATTGTATATAGAAAAAAATTCTGAGATTAGCATTCATTTGCATTTGTTTGCATCAATAGAAATATAGTAAATGTTGTATTTACCGGTGAATATTTTGATAGTTACAAGTTTGAATATGATAAATATTATATATTAATCTGTAGATATTTTATTAATTATATTTTTAAATATGATAAATACTGTATTTATTTGTAAATATTTTAATAATTATAATTTAAAGTTCGATATTTATAAGTAAATACAGTTTCTACTGATCGCCGGTTTCAGTGGCCGGATTTTCATGTAAATATTACGAGTACATACAATATTTACAGATAAATATGATATTTACCATATTTACCAGTCTTCGGAATTGGTTGTCGGATTTTCAAGTAAATATGGTATTTATGAGTAAATAGCATATTTACTGGTAAATACAGTATTTTCCAATTGTTGGTGCCAGCGACCAAATATTTTATATTTTTGGATAAATATGATATTTATGAATAAATAAGATATGTACAGTTGCGGGTTGCCGAAGCTGGCAGCGGGTCATCGGCGCCGTCCATGGTGGACTTGACTATTGGGGGGGGGGGGGGGGGGGGGGAGGGGGGG